TGATATCAACGTAATTTACAGGGTTTCGTGTGTGTGAGGTATAAAAACACTGTGTTTTACAGGGTTTGGGGGCCCTCGGCGGTCGAGAATTTCATCTGGGCGATGTCATAAAAAACCTAGGTTTTTTTCATGGTTTTTGCTTTGCGGGAAGGAAAAAATCGCCAAAAGTTGTATCGGAAGATTTTTTCAACATAAATCGCCTAACATATCCCCAACATAGGCCCAAGATAGCCAACAGATCCCCAACATATGCCCCACATAGCCTCCAAGATGGCTCAACATAGGGCCAACATAGGCCAACTTGGGGCCAACAGACGCCAACATAGGCCCAACATAGGCCCAAGATAGCCAACACATCCCCAACATATGCCCAACATAGCCTCCAAGATGGCTCAACATAGGGCCAACATAGGCCAACTAGGGGCCAACAGACGCCAACATAGGCCCAACATAGGCCCAACCGAGGCCAACATAGGGTTAACGTGCTCAACCGTAGGATCAATATGGGCCCCAGATGTGCTCTTTGTGGCCAACATATCCCTTTACAGGGTTTCGGGCCCCTCGGCGGCCGAGAATTTCAGCTTGGCGACGTAAAAAAAAAACACGTCGGTTTTTTCAGTGTTTTTGGTTTGCGGGAAGGAACAAATCGTCAAAAGTTGTATCGGAAGATTTTTTCAACATAATTCCTAACATATCGCCAACAGAGGCCCTAGATAGCCAACATATTCCCAACATATGGCCAACATAGCCTCCAAGATGGCTCAACATAGGGCCAACATAGCTCTTTGTAGCCAACATATCCCTTTACAGGGTTTCGGGCCCCTCGGCAGCCGAGAATTTCAGCTTGGCGATGTGAAAAGAAAAACGTAGGTTTTTTCAGTGTTTTTGGTTGCAACGGCTCTCCCGACTTTCGGCTTCTGCTTAGAGAAGCCAGGGCAGTCAGCCTCCTCCCGTGTGGAGGATGCTGCTGGGATGCCCTATGTCCCAGCCCCCGCGCTAACCTCTGTTCTGGCAATACGAAATAGGCTGGAACGAAAGTCTCACTGTCGCC